AAAGCCGGAGATTCCAGGTTCGACTCCTGGCCGAGGAGTTTTTTTCGCAATATTTTAAAAATTAGTTAGGGGGGTATTTGGGGTATTTCATATGTGAGATGCAAATCTAGCATCCCGTATGATTTTAAGAATTGAGATTTCAATTCAAAAAAAAAAAAAAAACTCACTTGTAAAAATTTACAAGTAAATTTGTTACATGTGTATACATATATATATATACATGGATAAGTTCTCGCTCAACACTTTGAGAACGGCTCGTAAGGCCTTATATTCATTCATTGGTTTAAATTTCACGAGCCTTAAGTCTTTATTAATTATTACATATTTGTTAATTTTCAAAATTTAGAAACATAATATATAACAAATATTTACTAAAATTACACTTCTAAAATTAAGATTTTTTAGTTCTGCATCTTACAAATTGGTTTACTAACTTTCAAAAAATCAAAATCTATAACAAAGTAAATCTGAATTAAATTGAAATACACATTCTACTAAATAATAATTTTCTAAATGTAAATTTATATATACTATAAGCAAAGAAACAATTTTTAATATTAAAAACTTATTTACTTACATTAAGTAAATATTATTATAGTAAATACATTTACTAAAAATAAGAAAATTTTTTTCTCAGTGTAGTAACAATTCTGTCCTAAAACTGGTACATACTTCCAAAACAGGACACTGGTACAACCGATTTCGGTTGTCTTAATACTGGTACATTTGCTTAACTTCTAAGTTTTATGAAAATTTATATTAAATAGTGATTAAAATTACTTTTTTTAAATTATTTGTATGAGATAAGTGCCATATCTTTTAAGGCAAATGATGGTTTTACAAATTTCTTTTACTACATTTAAGCAATTTCGAATTAATGGTTTAACCATCCTTAAGCGTCCTGATACTGGTACAGTTACCTTATCATAAAAAGTAAATAAATTATTTAAGATGCTCAAGTTAAGTGGGACACTTTTTGCGCGCGTGTGAGTATGTGTGCGTGCGTGTGTACATATACATCTTTTATATACATCTTATGATATACATCTTCAAAAAAAACCGTGTAACTGTAAAAAAGCAGCTTTTTGCAATGTGCAAGATGTCGTGAAAATTATTGTTTCTCCTGTTTCTACGATAAATATCATCCTGCTTCGTGTGATGGTTCATCTGATTAATGAAACTGTTTATGATTAATAAAATATATTTTTTATTCATTTGTCTTTTATGTTAATTTTCTTTATTCAAATTTGTTAATTTTTTTAAAAACAGGTTTGCAATTTAATTACTTTTTTATAGATAGCAATTTTGCAAACAAATTTTTAAGATAAAAAGAAAAAAATAAAAATGTTCATTTTTAATCAAAAATAGACAAAATGTCAAAATTTTTTATTATTTATATTAATATTTATTAATTTATGTAATTATTGAATGGACAATTTGTATTCTAAGTAAAAAAAAAA